GCCGCTAACCTCGCCATCACCGGTGGGGCTAGGCTAGGGCTGGAGTGCAAAAGGAAGAGGAGTTGCGAGTGGGGCAGCGTGGAAAGCCTGTTCATGACACTGAGATGGGCTGCCGGTGAGGCCCAACCAACCATATAGCTCCAATTTTTCTTCCAGAGTAGCGTCCACTTAAGATAGTTGGCCGAGTGAGGAACATCGTGGCGCTAACGGCAGATTAGACGACCAGATAAGACCCAGGCACGTAATCGAACGGTTTAGAACGCTGATAGCCTGAGATTGCTCCGATAGTGCCCAGTTATAATATATCTAAATATGCAGAAAAATGATCTTTGGACTGAGCTGAAGTCAAATTTCACCCTACCGCCAGAGGATAATCCAGAGAAGCCAGTTAAAGAGCAATTAATCAAGTCTTTTGCTCTTAAGAGGATGGCAGAACTATTCAGGAGGTGGAAGAAAGAGCTGAATAAGTTTGTCGAAAATAATGAGACACCAGAATTCAAGGGCAGATATGAGAAGATCAGAGATCACGGGCCCGCATTTGTGGCCCACAAGACATCGAAAAAGAGTAAGAAGATGTCGGCGACAAACAAGCAAAATGCTGCGAAGAAGAAGCATCACCACCGCACGGGGTCAGGTGGCTACCTCGTAGCCCGGCCTAAGTCGGCCAAGGCTGAGAATGATCTGGTTGATAAAGGGATCGAACCAGAGACAATTAATTGGCCAGACCGTTGCCGGACTTGGTTCTTCAGGGCTGGCGGAACCTTGGACCCTGTAATAGGGAAGTGCATTTGGACGAACGATCAAATGGACATACCAGTCAGGAAACTTCAGCACTATATCGAAGCAGCGCAGCAAGGGACGTTCTTTCCAGACAGAGAGAACGACGAGCTCACAATGGCCCTCAGGAATCCTGAGCACTCTGGACGGACACGAGGCACGCCAGGCTCCATTCTGTGGAAGGTTGGGTTTCCGGACGCAGGCGGTTACAAATCCCATGAGAGGAGGAAAAAAGTGCAGCAGACCCAAATGCAGGCGCTACAAGCAAGGGTACAAGCGATAGAGGAACGAGAAGCAAATCGCAGCAAACGTACTGCCGAAGCTTCCCCCGAAGCTACCCCGTCATCTCAGCGGAGAAGCAGCGTGGCTTCCACCGAGCTGCTTCAGCCGGAGCATGCCTTGACGGCTCCTGCCAACTATCTCGTGGATGCTATGGAGGAAAAAAGTGCAGCAGACCCAAATGCAGGCGCTACAAGCAAGGGTACAAGCGATAGAGGAACGAGAAGCAAATCGCAGCAAACGTACTGCCGAAGCTTCCCCCGAAGCTACCCCGCCATCTCAGCGGAGAAGCAGCGTGGCTTCCACCGAGCTGCTTCAGCCGGAGCATGCCTTGACGGCTCCTGCCAGCTATCTCGTGGATGCTATCACGGAGTCTCAAAATTGCCACCTTATGACGCAATGGATGAATTTGAAGGTCAAGGCGGCTGTTGGCTCTGTTTATCCTACTGAACCCGGCGCAACTTTTCACTGCCGGCCGATTCCAGAAGGATATGCTAGGGTGATGGTGGATGAAATAACGGAGGGATTTGAGGACCTCCAGCTTGACCACCCTACCGGTGAAGGGGAGACTAGGCTGGGGTCTGCTCTGAAGACTCCATGCCTATGGCGGAAGGAGCTCATCAACCTTCCGAACTAGACGCCTCCGCCTCTTCCTCCTCCTCCGGCAAGTCGGCACTCTGCCTCCTCCACCGCCTCCTCCTCCGGCGAGTCAGGGCACTTCGCCTCCTCCATCGCCTCCTCCTCCGGCGAGTGACGATCAGGGCACTCGACCGGCTCCTTCTCCAGCGCGTGGCGGCACTCTGCCTCCTTCTCCGCCTGCGCCGACGCGCCCGAGCAGCCAGCCTCCTCCTTCTCCGCCTCGTCAGCAAGGGCGGAAGAGACCTGCCGCCGCTCCGGCTGCTCCGGCGCGTCGTAGTCCTTCTCCTCCGCCTCGTAAGCAAGTAAAGAAGACAACCGCTCCGTCTGCTCGGCCGGCGTCTAGCAGTACAACCAGAGGCGGGAGGACATACAGATTCGGTCTTTCTCTGAAGACTCTAGAGAAGTTACCATACGAGAGGACCCCGGAGGAGAACGCCGAGATCGCACGAACCGAAGTGGATGACTGGTTTCAAGGGTTTAAAGCAAAGAGATATCCACTTCCGGAGGAGAAGGTAGATCTGGTGAAAGCGAAGCGCACTCTGGCTGCCCTGACAAAACCACCCAAGTCTCCGCCGAAAGGAAATTATGAGTGCATTATTGGAAAGGAATTTGCCGAAGCAGAGCGGTTGGGAAGTACTATAGTAGCATGTTCCGCGCATCTACTAGTGATTCAAGCGCTAGTTTCATCAATACCATTTGGCATTCTTGCTTATCAGTTTGATTGACCTTTATTTCTTGTAAAGTGATTGTGGTAGGAACAAGGGAATGATTTCTGTGGATACTACGTTTGCGAGTCCATCCGCCACACGACCTGTGAGCGGGGCTACACTGACGAACAATATGAAGTACGTAAATAACAACATTCACAATTTTATTTTATTACCATCATTTGTGTTGAGTTTCATTCATTCATATATATGTATTGACCCCCTTCTTTAAATTAGATGTTTCGGAAGCGGGATGAACTCCTAGCACCAGCTCGCATGCGAGCAATTCAAGAGGAATTGGCAGCATTCTTTCTTGACCACGTGATCGCTGAAGACGGGGAATACTATGTGGACCCTGAGTCCGTATGATTATATTTGTAAGAGATAATTATTGTATATATGTAGCCGGTAGTGTCAGATAGATATACGAGAACTTGTTGTTCGACCAATTTCTCGGAGAAGGAGAGGTGGTCGATATCACTTCTCTCTGTATGCATATATGTTCATGACGATCTTCTATTTTCTTCGTTTGCTTACTAGCTAGCTAGCGTGTCTAGTCCTCTCTATACGTATGTATACTACGTAGCGTCGACCAAGCACGGACATAAGAGAGGGCACTTCTCTCTATTAATTATAGCTAGCTAACACAATATATGAAACACCTAAATTAACCCCCCAAAACCCCCAAACACCCCCCCCCCTTCAAAAAAACAAAAACCCCAGCCACAGAAATGCTGACGTGTGGATGCCTATTGGTCCCGGTTGGTGCCATCAACCGAGACTAAAGGGTCTCCTGCCTGGGCTCCGCGCACAGGCCACATGGAGGCCCATCTGTCCCGGTTTTGGATTGAACCGGGATTAAAGGGACAGGGCATTAGTACCGACCCTTTAGTCTCGATTCCAGAATCGGGACAAAAGACCCTTATGAACCGGGACAATAGGCCCTTTTTCTACCAATGCAATGGAAGGAGCGAAAAAAACTAACCGATTGAGCGAAGCAAGGAGCTTCGTGCCGGCCCATCTGAGCGCTACGAAGCAATACGATAGTTTCCACGTGGAATAGGAGTTCGCAAGGGGCTCACACAACCATCACTGGCTCATGCCGAGACTAAAACATGTAGGACACCATGCACCGCACAAATTCGCTCTCCTTTTAGAACAAACACCGTCTCCAACAACGGCCTAGTACGACATATAAAAAAAGCCAAAACATAACTAAAACCCAAGCCAACGCGGATAAAACCAAACCAAAACAACCAACCACAAGAACTTGCTAGAGAAAAAAAATGTTAACCCCACAAGTGAAGCAAATTATTTACTTTTTATATATACTTGTTGTATTGTCGTATGACTGTTTCTATAAATTATTGCATCCCATGTCCCTGTATCCCTATCACCGTACCGATGTCGCCGTATCGGTGCTTCGTAGGTATGAACCACTTCGGTGTTGTATCATACATTTTTTATCATTTAGAGTTCACCCCACCTCAAATTTTATCCGTCCTCCGCTACTGCATCCAGAGCAAGCCTTTAAATCAAGTAAATCTAGGCTGATGTGCTGATGTATCACTTTTGGGGCTCTATTGATATAAACATAACACATCATTTTATAGCTATCATTTTCAAACATATTGTCCGATATGGACCGAAATATCGATCAACATGGCCGATATCTGGCCCGATATGTCCACCGATATAGAACGATACGTATATGACAACAATTCTTTATTGTAAAGCAGTATAATAAGATTATGCATTTACAACTTCATTAGATATTATCAAAATCATCCACAATGTTTCGTACAAATGCATATACAGTATTGTTTTTAATCATAGAGTAAGCATTTTGTGAATCTTTCCTTAATAGATTCCTAATCAACAATTTAATAAACTAGGAATCTAAAAGTGTTATGTTAAAGCATTGACATCATACATTTTGTTTTACTAAAAATAAATGTTTTGAACAAGAATAATGAAAAAAACTAGACATGTTTTCTCTGATATATCAACATATCGTCCGATATATCACCCGATATCCGACATTCGATATGTCGAAGCCAAACCGACACGAACCTGATATCCGATATTTTGAAGCTTGATCCAGAGCAATAGGTCTAAAGTTGAGGCTGCTGCCATAGTACCCTTTCTCATCTTGCATATACATGGTCCACATGTTAACTAACCAACTGGACAAGATGAACTAACGATGCAGTCCTGTGTACTAGTGTATAATTTCCATGTCTTGGGGTCAAAGAATTCAAGGACGCCATTAGCCTTGGAAAAAAAGGGCATGGCTAGTGGATGTGAGTCACGTGACTTCCCTTGACAAACTAGCAAGCATGTCACGTACAATCCATGACTTCGTTAGACTTCTTTCGGCCGTGGCATGCTTGTGCTTGTTGGACCAAGTCGATTTAGTCGGCCATAGACGACCACGCAAGTTGCGCGCATGCTCTAGCTATTCCCGTGCACGTACGTAGGCCGCCAGAGTGATCACGTCCTCGTCTCATCAACAGCCTGCTTCTCCTCCTTTGCCTCAAGCATATATAGCAGCAGCGGAGCAGCCTCTTCCGCTCAGCTGTGCGAACTGCTGCAACGATGTTCCTCAAGCTTCGTGTCATGCTCGTCTCCGTGCTCTTACTTTGTTACGGAACCTGCTCGGCCGCGGGCGTTTCATCTCGTGATGACACCCTGAACGATGGCCGGCGCAACATCACCGACGGCCAGACGCTCGTCTCGGCTGGTGGCGCCTTCACCCTAGGGTTCTTCTCACCGGGCGTCCCCAACAGGAGGTACGTCGGGATATGGTTCTCCGCGTCCACGGACGCCGTGGTCTGGGTGGCCAACCGCGACAGCCCGCTCAACGACACCGCCGGCGTGCTGGAGATCGACGGGGCAGGCAGGTTTCTCCTGCTCGACGGCTCCGGCCGGACCGCGTGGTCCTCCTTAAACACGACGACCGGTGGCGCTACTTCTTCTTCGTTGTCCGCCGAGGCGCGGCTGCTCGAGTCCGGCAACCTAGTGGTGGTGCGCGACGACGACGAAGAAGAAGGCGCCGTGCTGTGGCAGTCGTTCGACCACCCGTCCAACACCCTGATCGCCGGCATGCGGCTGGGCAGGAACCCGCAGACGGGCGCCGAGTGGTCCCTCAGGTCTTGGCGCTCCCCGGACGACCCGGCGACGGGGGACTGCCGGCGCGCCATGGACACTCGGGGGCTGCCGGACTGCGTGTCGTGGCGCGGCGACGTCAAGAAGTACCGCACGGGGCCGTGGAACGGGCTGTGGTTCAGCGGCGTCCCGGAGATGGCGTCCTACTCGGACATGTTCACGAACCAGGTGGTGGTCCGGCCCGACGAGGTGGCCTACGTGTTCAACGCCACGGCGGCGGCGCCCTTCTCGCGGCTGGTGCTGAGCGAGGCCGGCGTGATCCAGCGGCTGGCGTGGGACGGCGGCAGCCGGGTGTGGAACGTGTTCGCGCAGGCGCCGAGGGACGTGTGCGATGACTACGCCAAGTGCGGCGCCTTCGGGCTGTGCAACGTCAACACGGCGGCCACGCTCTTCTGCGGGTGCGTGCAGGGGTACGTGCCCGTGTCCCCCGCGCACTGGTCCATGAGGGAGGCCGCCGCCGGCTGCCGGAGGAACGTGCCCCTGCAGTGCCGCGACGGCGGCGCCACCACGGACGGGTTCGTGGTGGTGTCTGGCGTGAAGCTCCCTGACACTGACAATGCGACGGTGGACGTCGGGGCGACGCTGGAGGGATGCAGGGCGAGGTGCCTGGCCAACTGCTCCTGCGTGGCCTTCGCCGCCGCCGACATCAGAGGAGGCGGCGGTGGCAGTGGCTGCGTCATCTGGGTCGGGGACATCGTCGACGTCCGGTACGTCGACAAAGGCCAGGATCTCTATGTGAGGCTGGCAAAATCCGAACTAGCAGGTACGTGCAGTTTGGACGTTGGATGGATCATGTTGCCCAATGGATTAATCTGTGATATCTCTTGTTGAAATTTAGTTGGTCATGTATAACTGTTTATTTTCTTTCTGAAATTTATTTCTTCAGCTGCTAATAAGAAGAGATGGGGTATGTTGAAGATCTTGCTACCAGTCACAGCATGTCTGCTTGTACTGATGTGCATCTGCCTTGTTTGGTTATGCAAGTTCAGAGGTAGAATTTCAGGATGCAACATTGTTGTGGCACTTATGAGAAGAGGTAATATCATAGGTGGTGCTTAAACTTGCCACCGATGTTCACCTTAGTGCCTGAAGTTGAAAAATACATCGAACTGGTTTCAAAACTTGGCACGAGCGTGCAAATACAGTACTAATCCTATTAGTAGATGTTTTTACACTGACGTAGCACCGTAGTTCGCTTAGCATGCACAGACAACCTCGCCCTAGCAAACTGGAACTACTGGCCAGTACGCCGTTTTCTCGTGCCTGTTAATGAAAACAGATCCTTTTTTAGAATAATGAAAACATTTCCTATTTTGTTAGATAAAGAGACGCGTTCGTTGGTTTTAATAACCTGCTGCAGTGCAAGCCTGTTTGCGCATGTTAGTTTGATTTTAGAAATTTGTTAAAAAAAGTTTGTAAATTATAATCACAGTAATAAAAATACATTTCAAATATTTGTGCTTCAATTTTTTTATAAATACATATAAATTAAATAACTAAAATGTTCATGTAATTTAAAAAATATTCAGCTATTTACATGTGATTTATAGTTAAAGCTTTTAGTGAATAAATTTTCTAAATTGTTTAGTATATGCAAAAATAATTATAAAAAACTTAATTTTTTGAGTAAATTCCAAAAGTTATGCATGCTTGGCTTATGCTTAAATGAAAAAAAGTTATAGGTAGAAACAATTTTATTAATATTCACATGTGTATAACTTTGTTTTTTTGCGAGAAACATGTGTTTAACTTTCATCGTGTCATATATTCATATTTTTTATAATTAAAATATAGTTGGGATTGAATATTTTTTATAAACTGAAATTTTAAATTTTGCATATTTATGAAAATTTTACATTATTGAAAATTATTAAACAATATGAATCGTAAAAATGTACATGTAACTATTAAAAGGTTTATGTAGTTAAAATAATATTTCTGAATTGTAGTATAGAAAATATTTATATAATTCTAAATTGTGCGTCCATTTTTATAATCAGAAATACCATTTTATTTATAGGATACGTTTAAAACAAATATGTGAATATTTTTATTACTGTGATTATAATTTACAAACTTTTTTACAAATTTCTAAATGAAACTAACATGCGCAAACTGGGCTGCACTGCTGAGCCGATTAAAACCCACATACGTGTCTCTTTATCTAAAAAACAGGAAATGTTTTCATTATTCTAAGAAAAAGGATCTGTTTTCATTAACAGGCACGACAAAACGTATGGCATACTGGCCAATAGTTCCAATTTGCTAGGGCGAGGTTGTCTATGCATGCTAAGCAAACTATGGTGCCACGTCAGCGTAAAATCGTTTATTATTAGGATTAGCACTGTATTTGCACGCTCGCGTCAAATTTTGAAACCAGTTCGGTGTATTTTTCAACTTCAAGCACTAAAGTGAATATCGGTGGCAAGTTTAAGCACCACCTGTGATATTACCTCTTATGAGAACTACTGACAAACAATATTTCAACTCTTCTTGTTAGGCAACCGTCGAAACAAGGATGTCCAGGCAAAGTCGATCCTAGGAGGAGCTTCAAACCAACTAATTGGTGATGAAAATATCGAGCTTCCATTGATTAGCTTTAGAGATATTGTTACCGCCACAAATGATTTCTCGAACGAGAACATGCTCGGACAAGGAGGCTTTGGGAAGGTTTACAAGGTAACAAAATAAGCTCACCCAGCAGCATGTATAACATAAAAACAATCTTGTTGACCTTAATAATGATAAAAATGTCTGTAGGGAATCTTGGAAGATAAAAAAGAAGTCGCTATCAAAAGGCTCAGTAAGAGTTCTGGACAAGGAGCGGAGGAATTCAGAAATGAAGTTGTTCTAATTGCCAAGTTGCAGCATAGGAACCTTGTCAGGCTTCTTGGTTATTGTATTCATGAAGATGAGAGGCTGCTGATTTACGAGTACTTACCAAACAAAAGCTTGGATGTCTTCATTTTTGGTACGTTCAGATTTCCGTGTTGATAAAAGCTAACACATTATTTAACAGAGCTTAGCTGCATACTTATAACAACGTTGTGTACTGTTTTGCTAGACGCTGCAAGTAAGTATGTCCTTGATTGGCCAACAAGGTTTCAAATAATCAAAGGGGTAGCTAGAGGACTTCTTTATCTCCACCAAGACTCAAGGCTGACCATAATTCATAGAGACCTTAAATCAAGCAACATCTTGTTAGATGTGGATATGAGCCCAAAGATATCCGATTTCGGTATGGCAAGAATCTTTGGTCGTGACCAACAAGAAGCAAATACTAACCGAGTTGTTGGGACATAGTGAGTAATTCATGCAAGATATTTATTTCGTTAAATTTTTCTATTACTTAAAGTTATTGTTGAATTGTGACGCAGTGGTTACATGTCTCCTGAATATGCGATGGATGGCGCCTTCTCTGTCAAGTCCGATACTTACAGCTTTGGTGTTCTACTCTTGGAGATCATAAGTGGTCTGAAGATTAGCTTACCTCACCTCTCAGAATTTCCAAACCTCTTAGCTTATGTAAGTACAATTTAATGCGAATTTGTGCACACTTCTGATGGAATTAGTAATTTATAGGAATTTGATTCAATTGATTCAGGCATGGAACTTATGGAATGATGGGAAGCCAATGGATATGGTGGACTCTTCCATTGCTGATAACTGTTCACCAACTGAAGTTCTACGGTGTATTCATATAGGGCTCTTATGTGTGCAAGATAATCCTTACAATAGGCCACTCATGTCATCAGTTGTGTTCATGTTAGAGAATGAAACCACGGAACTTTCAACCCCAAGACAACCCGTGTATTTTGCATACAGGAACTCTGAAGCAAAAGAAACAGGGGAAAATACCAGCAGCTCAATGAATAACATGAGTGTCACGATGTTCGAAGGGCGGTAGATACTCCGTAATTTAATGTGTAAACCATTTCCCTTTTTTCAGTCATGTACTTCACTGTAAGATTTCAGTCATGTACTTAACTGTAAGCTTTTACAATATAAGAGAAAGGAGATTGTTCGGTTGAAGCAATGTTACTGAGGTTACGTTTGCTGCAATACCGGCAGAAAAATGCTTTTAGTTGAAAATTCTGCACACGGTTAATCTTTGACATCCAACACTCGATGCTTTCTTTATCTCCATCAAGGTTCAGGAGTCACAATAATTCACAGGGATCTCAAGGCAAGCGGTATGATAGACACAAAAGTAACTCCTAGAATTTCAGATTTGGTACGACACTAATTTTGAAATAGAGTTTGGATATGGAAATATTTGACTCAGAAGATGTTTTCCTGCTATATCCAAATTTAGTTGGAGTTTGTTTCTTTTCCTCCGATGTGTACTTGGCTCCGACCCTTTAACGGCAGTAGGTTGACGCAACTACCGACTATGCACTCCGTTTCTCCATGACTACTACCTCACGCTCTCCATCTATAACCCTCGCCTCCAGAAAACAGATTTCCTCACGTTCGACGGTGAGAGCAACCATCAACCCTTGCTGACCAGATACAATATGTTCTTCCTCGGCCAATGCACACAGGAGTCCAACAAAGACCTTGTTGGCATCGTACCACATCATCGGCATCGCCGCCTTATGGTACGACCACCTTGAGGAAAAGATGGGATGACCGTCATGGGAGATCTTTCGGCAGCTCAAGTTTTTGTGTGTGTTATGGTGCTTATTTTTTGTTTGCTAAATTAGAAATATTGTTCACCTTGATCAATAAAATGTTCATACGTGTCTACACATGGAACAATTTATACTATCATTTGTTTTGTTCGTGCTACTCTCTCCATCCCAAGCAATAAGATGCGCACATATCCCAATATTAATGTTTGACCACAATTTAGACAACTCAAATGTGGGCTTCATGTGACAAAAATTATACCATTGAATTCGTATTCAAAAGAAGTTTTCAATGGTATATTTTTAAGTCAAAAAATATATATTAATGGTCTAATTTAGGTTCGAAGTTGGACTTTGAAATGTGTGCACACCTTATTCATTGGAATGGGAGGGAATACCATTAGTTTGTTCGCTTACTATAGAAATTGTTCAGCTCAAAATTGGTACCAAATTGTGAGAATTTAGCAAAATACTGTCAAAGAACTCATGCGTGTTGAATTTTTGTTTACTCCCGTTTTGACAGTGTACTCTTGATTTGAAAGAAAGAAAGAAAGGAACAAGAGGGAAAAAGGAAAGTGGGATCCCTAGTCCGTTGCATATTGGGCTAACATTTTGCTCAACATCGCTTGAGGAGTATTAATATAGTTTTTGTACGGATGAATGCTGTTTAGATGTGCGATGAACAACTTTTGTATACACGAAAATTTTCAAATATGTGATTATCATTTATTTTTCATATGCATGAACACTTACATGTAGGTGCCTGAATATTTTTTTAAATACATGAATATTTTTGTACATAAAAACTTTTTAAACAAGAGATGAACATTTACATTCAGATTTAAAAAATGCCCAACTCATGTTATTTTTTTATATACATATGAAGATTTACATTCAGTTTTTAATTTATTCGTAATATATAAAACTTTAAATATTAAAAACATTTCAAAACAATATTCAATAATATATTTTTTAACAAAACTTCTGGAAAAATTAAGCTTAGTGGGCTACACTCTTGAGCCGGCTCATATAGAACTCCATGTTTGTTTGCCTGCCTAGGGGTCTCTCGTGGGTGCTTACGTAGCAAAAGCCCAAAATTGGCCGAAGGGAGGCCCGTTGAGCGCTCTCAAATACATATAATGGAAAAGGTGCGGCGTCGCTCAGTTCAATCAACCATGCCGGCCAGCTCCAGCGCTGAAGGCGGCGGCCGCCGGCAGGATGTCATCGTGGTCACCACGATGGGTAAAGGGGCTTCAAGTCTTAGAGCAGCACAGGACATGTCTACATGTAGCCTAGGGACTGAAAAGAGACCTAATTACTTCATCCGTCCCATAATGTAAGACATTTTTTTAACACTACACTAGTATCAAAAAAACATCTTACATTATGAGACAACAGGGGAAGTAGATAGCAACGAGAGACACAAAGTACAAACTTTGGTTAGACATTTAATTTCTTATTTGGTCTGCATCCGGCGTTCGGTCGTGCATCTAGGCTCTGCTCCGCCTATGCGCACTGTTTCCTTACATAACTACCATTTCATGGCCAGGTTGACATTAAATTTGTGTACTATCATAAGCATGTGGACTGTCTTTGATAAATTTGACAGGGAGCTTACAAGAAAATTATGTAAACAAGGGCCAAGAGTGAGACCTTCAGTTACACATTAGAATTAGATGGCCGCTCCATCAAGTAGACTGCAAGTAAAATCATTGTTCGCCAGCTCTATTTTGTCTGCCTTGACAACAGCACTTAGTTGAAGGGGTGCAAAGCTCCGATCAGGCCCATAGAAATGAGGAAAGTAGTTACAGCCATCAGCTGCCTCATAAATTAAGCCATCTGCAATCTAAGATACACATGGATAGTAAGGTGTACATGTAAATGCTGTTGCATCAATAGGTGGCAATTTATGCATGTGTCCTAACACCCGTATAGATAAGTACACTAACCATAGTAAATATAGATATAAAGATATAAAAAATTGGTAATTTCCTCAATAGCTACAATAAATTGATAGGAGAAGAAATAAAATGGATGTTTACAGATTAATACCTTGGCAGTGTCAATTTGTAGCAGGTATAGATCATTTTGCCCACGGAAATAATTCTTTAGTGTCATCTTCACCTACACCAAGTCAAAGATTAAATAAACTTGACTTTTGAGAAGGACTAACCCGCGCGCGCGCACACACACACACGCACACACCAGTGCTCAACAGATATTACAATACCAGAACATGTGACAGTTCAAGAAAGTGAATGGTTGATGGCCCTTTTATCCAGTTAGTCCAGGATGCTAGGTCATGCTCATTGGGAGACGGTCTGCACATCTCCTTTTGGACTGATCAGTGGATTTCATCTGGGTGGTTTGCTTTCTTGTTTCCATCCCATTTTTCTTTTGCCATCGATCGCTTTGTTTGGTCACCTCGCAATTTAGTGGGTATCAGGACATTAAGTTGCACCCTGACCTGTCCACACCTGCTGCTGCTGAACTAGATAGACTGCACCAAATTATCTGTGACATTCAAGTGGTGGACCACAATTCTGAGAGTGATCTGAGATTGGGATGGTTAAATTGCAAACCGCCCTGTACTGCTTTCTTCTACAGGCTACTCACAACGTGTGCTGTCTTTTGGTCTCCTGCTAAATACATTTGGTGCTCTGTGATCCCAAAGAAATATCCTGTGTTTCTTTGGCTTGCTTTCAGAGCAAGATTGAATACACATGAAAATATGACAGGAGTTGGAGGAATATTCAGTACTGTTTCTGTGACTGTTGTCCCGATGTTGAGTCAATTAACCATATCATCCTGTGATACAAGCTGACGCATGATCTTTGCACAGATTTGGGTCTCCTACCACTGGCTGAATCCTTGGTCTCCGTTCTTTCTTTCATGCAGACTGCCAGGCCTGATGACCCTCATTGGCACATGATCTTCACGGCCCGCACGGTGCAACTCTGGGAGGTCCGCAACAAACAGATTTGTGATCATATTTTCATCCCTCAGGCTGTCTCCCGGCAACAGAAAGCGAGCATGGCCAAGCTATGGAGCAACAGAATTGAGAACCATTCTCTGAAGGATTTCTTGGTTTCTTCTGCAGAGTGTTCGGCCCTACCTTGTAGCGTTCCTAAAATGACCATTCTCCCCTTTCTGTTTCCTCGCTTTATTTATGTTGCTTTGTAACTTGTTTTGAACCCCAGACTTCGTCCTGTTTGGAATATATAAGGTAGAATGAGGCCTACCTTCTTATCCCCGATTTTTTTTAAAAAAAAGAGCCTAAAAACACATCGTTTCCAATTTAATTTCTCAATAGAAGAAATTTGCCGGATTTTATGTTATTTTGGTACAATATGCTATACTGTTAATGGTCTTTTGAACGCCATTGATCCACATCTCATTCCATGAATCACTCTTCAACTGCTTGCTAGTGTATTACGGATCATTAGAAATTAGTACTTGGTAGTACCAAACTAGTGTATTACGGATCATTAGAAAAGACATCCACTACAGTATGGACTACTGTATTTGGCATAACCAGAGGAATAAGCCCCAGATCTGGACGAGGCTAAGAACCCGAAGCTCTGCGACACCCCACCCAGGAAATCAACAGGAGAAGAAGGGTTCGCAATTCCAGATCAACAAAAGCAATGAAATCATACAGGAAATGGCACCTCCCAGCAGCATATACACTCATGAGTCCATGGTCAATCCCCATGTCCAAATCAAGCAATACAGGGGGGATCTACTGACAGAACAATATATCTACACTAGAATCTGAAGCAGAGTGCACATCTGACAGAGCCGAGAGATCTGGACTTCTGGAGGGGAGAGGACGGGGGTAAAAGACGGAAGGAATCGAAGAGATTGTGGGGGTACCTGGGCGAGGTCGCTGAGGTGGAAGCAGCCGGTGGAGCGGTCGAGGTCGCCGCCGAGGGTGCCGCCGGTGCGCTGAAGCTCCGCCCACTCACCCCCCGTGCTGATCCGGTACACGAACGCTGGTAGCGGCGGCGGCGGCGTTGCCATTGCGGTGGCCCGCTAACAACTGTGTTGTCCAAAGCGAAGTAAGTGGGCCGTACGTGTCTGGCAGTAAAAATAAGCTGAAGCAGAGGAATAGCACTACCAAACGTCACCGGCGATGCCCACCGCGCCATCGTTTTCCTCCGCTGTCTCAAAACTCCACGCGAGATGACACTCACTCTCCACCATGAAGCAGCTCCTTCCTCTCAGCCCCGTCCTCCGCCTACCACCACCATTGCAGCTCCTTCCCGTACCCAAAAAGGGGTGAATCTTCCAAGAAAATGTATGTTAAAAAACTGTCATCTCATAAACAACTAAACATATCACCAAAACATTTGCAAATGTCACCCCTCTTGACGAACATTCACCAAGTAAGGGTGTTCGTAGATAAAGCAATGATCAAAATACAAGCTGATAGAAACACACGCACACACCCAAGGCAAGATAAAAGAGTGCTGAGATACAACAACACTAACTCATAACTTCAAGCAAACAAAGATGTACAATAAGCATCAACCATCAAGGAGCCACCATGAAGAGACGATGCATGACGCGCCGAGACATGAGCTCCAAGACGAGGCCTTCAAGAAGGGCACGACATTAAAACGCCACCACCGGCTGATCAAAGGATCAAGATTTTCACCCAGAGATGCCCCAAAGGACAGAGAGTAACCGTGAAAGACAGGGCCATGCCATAGATATACGGGGACCAGGGGCAAGACAAGAACAAGGGGCCCTTCTTGAAACACAAAAGCTCAAATTAAATATCCAATGCATAGCATAGATTGATTATCTTTGGACTCTTAATAAGACTGACAGTACAACTATTTATCGATCAAGAGAACTGTATCATGATAGTAATGAAACAATACAGCTCGACAAAAGATTGATTTCTTAATTGTCCATGGAGATATTTTTTTTCTGCACAACACATGACCGTGTCGAAACTGGTTGCTACATAAAACATTTGTGTTACCATGAGTTATAAAACTAAGGCGAAGTATCGAGTGAAAACTGATTTTCAGTGAAAATCTGGAAACTTGCCGTGTGAGCCATTAGATCTACAAAGAACGGCACAGATCAAAGGTGGGAATTCTAACCGGCCACTTAAACATCAATTAGCAGAAACCCCCTCTTATCTCGATGATTAGCAGATTACTTGGTCGTATCCAACCTAACTCGCCCCGTACCATGGTGCTGCTGCCGCGGTGAATGCCATAGAGGTAGGCGGGCATAGCTGACGGGGCTCCCAACTGCGGCGACGCAGCCGCGCACCGTGCCGAAGCTCTCCTCGGCGAGGAGCGCAGTCCCGAGAAGCCGAGTCAAGGGACGCGCTGGCGAGGGTGCCCGTGGCGTCGGCCCAGGGAGCCTCCCTCACCGACGACGTGGACCTTGCGGCAAGGGGTTGGGACTGCGTAGGAGGCGAAGAGCTCGCCGGCGCAGCCCCGGAGGTGAAGTAGAGCGACACAGCCACGCATCGCTAACAGCACCTCTGAGCTCCACGCGACGCCGTAACGGTGGCCGTGACCTGCAGTGTAGGTTGCGTGAAGCACATCGGCGTCCGGATGTGGCAACCTCGAAGGGCAACTCGACAGCCGCGGGTTGCCCCCACGCTACGTCGTTCTCTGAAGAATTGTACACTGATTTTGCAGTTCTCTGAAGAATTGTCCAGCACAAACTCTGTTCTCTGAAGTATTTTACCTGGATATGTTGAAGCTTGTGCACGGAAAGTTGTTGTTCAGTTGGTGCTGGAGCACACCCGCAAAAAGAAAAAGTTAGTGCTGAAGCTGTGCAATTAAAAAATAGGTACTGGAGTTGTGCAACTTCCCTGTAGTTTTTGAATACAAAAATCCTACACTTACGGACTACAAGCCATGGACTGCTCCTTACGGACAGACGTGTCCACCCCACGCTGAACTTTCCCCCCTAATTTCCAGCGGGGGGGCCCAACGTGACCCAATACGATAAGGCCACCGTCAGCCTGTAATTATAATCCGTGATTTTCATTCTGTAACTGTAGCAAAGCTCTTTTGAATGTGATTGTTCGCTGGTCATCGACAAACTGAAAATACTTGAAGCTTCTCTCTGCAAATGGTGCCATGAGAGCTCAGGGAGATCAATGTGATGTGTGGCCATTTTCCTAACTACATGTTCCAGTTCACGGGTAGTGGAAGTAACGCAGTGGCTCATGGGGTCTTAGTAATGTAGGAGTACTAATCATAGATCCGTTGATTGCATCGGAAATTTGAAGAGTTGTATGTGAATATATTAGAATAGGAGACGAGGGGAAAGCCACCACACAGAATTGCAACGACCAAAACAAACAAAAATGAAGATACAGATTACAGAGTTGGACCTTTTTTTTTACGGAGCTACGGCGAACTTACGCCGGCCTGAATCATTTCATTATAAGATAGAGTACATTTACAAAGGTTGAGAGTTGGGGGCGAGGGTGAGATTACACTCGGCCAATGAAAATTTAATTACAAGACTTGGGTCATCACACAATAGAAAGCAGAACTGAAATAAAAGGCCAGTTTAAATTTTGCTTCTTGAAACAGAGCACTTGATCTTCAGGTAATCTTCATTTGGGGGTTTCCATCTGCTGCCTTTCTTCATAGATGGTCTCTTGTTATTGTTGCTCCAATACTCTGTGATTTCTTTATAGTGGATTTCTGGGGAACTTAATTTTTCCTTTAGGCTGCACGCTGCAGCATTCATTCAGCTAAGGAACTGAATATGAACAGCTAACCAAAAGCTGGCCCAACCCAATTGTCTGCACTAGAATTTGGACGACAGCAAATATAGACCAACAGCTTCGAAGGGCAAGCAGCGCCAAGGTCGGCGGGCTGCCATCGCACTGGGGTGGGACGGGCAGGACGGGCAGCGCCAAGGCCGTCAGACTCGTCGTCGCGTCGGAGCAGCCCCAAGGGCGCCGGGTGGTCGTTGCCTGAAGTAGCGCTGAGGCCGCCGAATCACCATTGCGTGGTGCAGCACCCGCCATCGCGCAGGGGCTCGCCTGGTCGCAGTCGCATAGGTCAGATGAGGCGGCGGCGAGATTTGGGTTAGAACTTGGAAGGATAGGAACGGGTAGAATAAGACATGGAGTTACCTAATTACTGAAAGAGGGGGTTATGTGAAAAATGGAGTTAAGTGGCTGGTTAGTGCTCCCACCTTTGATCTCTGCCGCTCGCTATTGATCCAAGGTCCCACGATGGAAGTTTTCAGATTTGCACCGAATTCCAATTTTCACTTGATACTTCGCCTAAAACTAATGCATCAATTTGTTTCTGGATCCTCCCCAATCTGACTATTTCATGTTTATACTATGATGATCAAAACATGCAGATTCCTTCAAAGAATTACTAATTTCGAAGGACTTAGCAATTGATCCCTTTTGGGATTCCACTACCAGACAAATAATTTCTTGAAGACATGCCACTAAATAAGCTGCATGAAAATGGTGAATACAAGGATCAAGAGCACCTGGAAACGAAATGATGGATGTAGATGACTTGATCCGTGTGCCACAGTAATCAGCACGAACAAAAATACAACGCCATGAGGTGAATAAACTTTCTCCCTTCTCTAGTCTCCAGCCTGAGCACTCTCCCACGTTCGGATCCAATGAAGAGCAGAAGAAGACCCATGTAGATTTGGTGGATGTGCGCTGTGGAATCCTGTGCAGAGCTATTTATCAATGAATCTCTGAATTAAGGAACATAATTACTGGAAAGAACTTCTGGTCATCTTTGTCCGTCTCACCCCTCCTCGGTGGCTCCAAGTAGTTCTTCTTGGTTCATCTCTAGTTTGCTTGGTTGTCGTCCGAAAGGTGTGTCGGTGCCCGGCACCTTTATATCTTGCCTTGGGTGTGTGCTGTGTGTCGTGGTGGGTGTGTTTGTATCGGTTCCCTCGGATGTATGTGGTGATGTTTGCTTTATAATATATAGCGGGGGGCAACCCTTTTCGGTAAAGAAAAACGTCTACGCTCTCGGTCTCTCTTCAAAGTCTAGGGAACGAGCAGAGCGTTGAGAAGGAAGGAGAGCCGATCAGGGAATTCATGCCATTCTTTTGCGGGTGGAATTCACGCCATTAAATGGCCTGCCACGACACTGGAATCGGAGAGGCACGGTAGGGATTGCCGACCGCTTTGGGCCTGCGACTGGGGAAGCAAAGGAGTCGCTGGTCAAGTGCGGAAAGAGTGCGATCGATTCCTTGGGTGGTTGGGCCTTAATTTTTTTTGTGTATATTTTGGGCATCCTGCAAGAATACTACTTGGCCCAGGGCCCCTGCCGCCCCGGGGCCCAGGGCGGGCGCCCCGTTTGCCCGGCCTATGGGCCGAGCCTAGGCCGGGCCTGGTGACAGAGCCTTCAAGAAGGGTAGGATGCCCATGGATGTCGCCGCCGTCGGTCTGGCCAAAGCTAGACATGGATTTCCCTCCGGCAAGCACACTCTACCTTCGAACAGGGTGCGGCCAATCGCCGATCTACCGTACCACCGCCATGAAACGGCCAACCCCAACCTCCACGCCGCCCACACGACCATAGAAGCCAGTCAGCACCCGAGCCACACATTCTAAGAGTTGTGTGTCCAGAGTGTGCTTGCAACTAAGACAACAAATGAAAGATAGGCTTCACAGTTGCGTGGCAAGATGCAGTTGTAATTAGGACAAAAAATGATCAGACCCTCACTAAATAGGATGTACTTGTAATTGAGATAAAAATGGATCGGCCTCAGTTGAGTATTGAGATATGGACTTGCACAGAGACTACAAAGGTTGATGAATTTCATACAAATAAATAAATAATAAAAAGGGGAAAGAAAATAAAGAAAAAGGAAATGGAAAAGGAGAAAATAAAAAAACGTGTCGCTTGCTACGAACGAAAAGTGAACGGGAAAGAGAATTGAGAGTGGCAAAATTGCAACGACCAGTGCCGTACCCGTTTTTGGAGCTCCTATACGACGCTTTAGGCGCCTGTTCTAGAACCTGGCGCTCACGCAGCCACTGCCGTGGCCAGCCCAACAAGCGCTGCCAGTGGCTCACTCGGCCACACAGCGACTTCGTTTGCACTGTTGTCTAAAGAAAAACTACATGCGCACCGGTCAACTGCTGGCCCATCAATCGTTAATCACCAGTTGACTTTTAAAAATAATGGATCTAAAAAAAAGATCAAAAATTCCAAAAAGATTCATGATTTTGAAAAAATATATTAGGAGTTTGAAAAAAATTCATGATTCAAAAATTTCAAGGAATTCAAAAAAGTTCCTGGAAGATCGCAAATTTGGAAAAAAGTTCATCAAAATTTGAAAAACGCTCATGAATTCAAACTTTTTTATATTTTTTGGAAAAAACATGAATTTGAAAAAAATCATTGATTTTAAAAAGAAGTTCATCAATTTTAAAAAATAAATCACAATTTGAAAAAAGTTCATCAATTTTAGAAAAAAAATCATGAATTCGAAAAGAAGTTTGCGCATTTAGTAAAAAGAAAACATAAAAAGAAAAAGGAAAAAGAAAAAGAAAAGGGAAAAACCTGAACAAAACCATTACAAGAAAAAAGGAAAAAGAAAAAAAATTGAATGAAACCATTCCAAGAAAAAGAAAGAAGAATGATGAAAAGAAGGAAAATATTGTAGGTCACAATAGGTGAGTTGGCTGGGTGGACTTGCAACTGAAGAGAAAAAAGAGATTGGGCCTAGTTGCATGTCAATAGTGGACTTGCAACTGAGGCTCGTTATGAAATTTTAAAAGTTGGTGAATTTTAAAAAATAGAGGAAAAATATAATAGTATCAAAAAATAGAAAATTATTGGTTGGTACGTGTTTATGCAATTTCTTCACCATGTATTGACTTTAAAAAAGGAATTACAGCAAAAAGGAATATCAGAATGCCCCCCCCCCCCCATGCACATGCACACACAACACAGC